TCCGATCAAGCAATTCCTGGTCTATGGCAAAAATTTAGAGTCCAAATTTTAACGTGCGCACATAGTCGCGCACGGCCGGTCCCCTCACTGACTTCGCCTGACAGCGGCCTGCCACCAACCACAACCATACCCGTCAGGAGCCGCTCAAAAACGTCAAGCACTCGTCGCGTTTCGAACCCGGACTTTTGCAACCGGGACATGCGCTCTCACCACGTGGCACATGAGTCCAACGCTCTACCGACCGAGCTACCGGGACGGACATTTACGTTGGGGTTTCGCCTCGTGACATTGACAGACGTCAGACACTTTGGCCGAACTTTAGCCGAAACACTGAGCAAGCTGCGCAGGGCGATAGGTGCTCGTAGCGTTGAGGCTGGGTAACCTGTGAGCTGAATGTGATGTCGTGAGTTCGAGCCCCACTCCCGGGTCTGGTTTTATCTAGACACGAACCAAAACCTTTCCTTCTACTGCAACACAGATAAGCACGATGACATTTTCCCCCAATATTTTTCCCCAATATCCTCTCCAAGAGTCAAAACTATCGCTTATAAATGTTAAGCTAAGTTTTATTTTTTAAGAAAATATTTTTGGTCATTTGTCTGGAACCATTTCAACTCTTTTTTTTTTCTTTTCTGCTTCTTTTCGACCCGATAAAACCCACCAAAACTGAACGTGCCAAATGAAAAATATCTGATTCAAATAACAGTTTAGAAAAACCTCATCATGCATCATGAAAAGCATCATGCAACTATCGACTGAATGGTTGCATGCTATGAATACGTCCTAGCTTTCAATTATCATTGTTCAACATTTTGGCTGGAACTGACGCTGCCTCTGGCTTGTCCGTTTGTTTGAGATAATGATTCCCTTCAGTCGCATTCTTGCCGGTTCCACATGAACAGGATACCACCATACCGGAGTGAACGCACCCGCAACCCTCATCACCTCCCCTCAGCCTCGGCGCAGTTGCGGGCGGCCCTGGGCGGCCCACTCCCGGCGCTACGCACGCCCCATATACCGCGTCACTCCCCCTCACTCCTTCCCCCACAATGACCGGTGACCTCACTTCCCTCGGGATTTGGACTCGCCCTACCCCGACCGTAGCGCCACGTGGTGGCTCTGGAGATCTTAAATAGACCCACTGTACGATTGAGGCGCACGGTAACATTCAAAAGGCGATTTGATCGTTATAGCACTTCATCATGCAACGGGTGAATGAAGATCGATGCATCCCGAAACTTAGTGTGGCTTACCGAAAGGGCCAATGTTCAGCTCCATACTGATTCCTCCATCTTTTCGGAAACTGAAAAAATTGCAAGCAAATACCATACAATGGGATTGACTGTCGACTGTCTACCCCATTCATCAATAAGCCTCCCCACGAATAATAATGCTTTATCCATGGCAGTTCTGTGCCAAATGGGTGTGAATCGATACAAAGGGCACGAATTGCACCGTTCATTAGGGCACGAAGTACGGTTTTTCGTGACAAACCAAAAGCCGATCGAAGGATGCGTCTTTCAATGTCGGATGCGTATGCGTCTTTCTGCGAAAATAAGAATATATGCCCACAAGTTACTGGAACGCCTGGCGCCGTTAGTCTGTTTGCGAACTGCATCTATTATTTTTGTTTATCGATTCCCAGATTAACCTCCTGACACTGGGGATGACGCTTAACAGGACTCATGTTTTCTGGCCACAGGCCACACCCTGGGTCAGAATAAATCCTGCATAGTTTTGCATGGCGTATGTATGTATAAAGCATCCAACATTAAAGACAGCGTTTCCGTCCCCCGCCGGGCTTCCTATAGGGTCGGCCGGGTCAGGGGCGAGCGGCAGCTCCATGGTCGCATGCCACCCAGATCCGGCTGCAGTCCAATGATGAACGGACAACACCACCACGTGTGCAGGTGACATGCAGCCTTGGGAACGGCAGAATGCCCTCTCGTTACCCTTCACCACAGTGAGGAATGTGTCACTCGATAAATTGGATCAACACCTGAGCGGACCGGCTCATCATTGCACCACTTGGCTGGTTGGCTAATCTGGCAGTACGGCGTAGTCCTCACACGTCGTCAATGACACATTGCGGTGATCACACCCCCCCCCCCCCCCGTCTAACTCGGCTCCTGGGCCACGTAGCGACACGCAGTAAGCGACATTCGTAACTCGTAAGAGCGTCGAAAATCATTACGGCAATATTCCAGTCATGTTCTTAGGTCAGGTCAAGGGTCAGGTCAGCATAGCTTATCAAAGGTAAAATTTTGCGTATTTCAAAATTAAGTATAACGATTATTTCAAAATTTTCGAAAAACCGGCGCATAGCTCGGGAACCGATAGGGCTACAGTGCTGCAGAATTTCTGTAACAATTTTTGACTCAAGAAAGGCACGTTTGTATGTAGGCGATGAATATGAAATTAGACAGATGAGAGTGTTCGCCATTTTTCAAAATATCTGAATAAAAGCATCATGTTACACCAGTGGATTCATGGAGAGATATTTTGAAATTCATTGTTCTTCTTTTACATAGATCATTTTGGGCTAGAACTAGAACTGAAAAGATGTGATGCCCGTTGAGAACGCTGTTGAATACAATACTCAGTTGTCAGACGTCAGCACCGCTTAGCGTCCCATTTCATCCCTGTTCAGCCGGGGAAAATGGATGACTAATGTCTGTGTCCATTATGATCAATGTTAGTGTGTGGTTAGTGACAAAATTGAGTGTGGTCAGACCACTGCACTACACATTAACCCTCGCATGTGTAGGGGGGGGGGGGGGTCGGATGGACCCCCCCATGGTTTTTCGTGAATAACTCGCGTAAAAAGCGGCCGATCGCGACGAAACTTTCAGTACTCTCGCATTGATCAATTTTACACCTACCCTGAAAATTTCATGACCCTGACCCAAATGACCTTTGACCTGTGACCTCTTTTCCGAGACCATGTTTGGCCGGAATCGCGATTTCGCGTATGTCGGCTCGCACTAGCCGCGTGTTTGCAAGCTTTTCGTGGTTTCAAACGTTCAAACATGTGATTTGATGTTACTCCCGTGTGTGTCAAGGTCACCTGAAGGTCAGGTCAGGTCATTGACCTTTGGTGACCTCGGGTGACCTCGGTTCACTTTTTCGAGTTTTACATGTTTCTAGGCTAGTTTTTGGAGCTGAATTCGAATTTAGCAACCATTTGAACATTTACGAAGTAGTTTTGGTGACTTCGTAACATGTTACGAAGCTGTCAGAGGCGGTTGACACGTACTACGAATACCCGTCACGACGCCTACTGGTTGACCTGACCTGACCTGACCCGACCTGGTCTAAATGCTTCAAGACATCATCTGTGATCAAAACTAATACGATATTCGTGATCAGCACCCCGAAAAACCCCTTAGCAGCCACACTTTACGACTTTCTAACAGGTCCCGATTTTCCCGACTTTGGGTCATTGACCTGACCTGGAAGGTCAACCAATGACCTAGGACCTTAAAATTGGGTATCATCGGCTTCCTCTCGTCACGGGCAACACGCTCGTTTTTTCCGCGAAGCTCTAGCTCAATCAGGGGCCAAACGGCAAGGGGGGGTCCAACCGACCCCCCCCCCCCCTACACATTAGAAGCTGGCAAACGCCGCACACATGCGAGGGTTAACGGCGACACCTTGCGAATCAGACGGTGATGTGGTGTTTCACTGCATGTACTCATCGGCCGGTTGATGCCAAGGTGCCATCTGCACTGGGCCCCTCGTGTCGTTCCGAAATGGATGTGTGACACAGCTGCCGCATGACATTTTACATGGCTTTTGTCGCGCATCAACCTACGACTAAACTTGTGACTGAACCATTAAGTTTGTGTTGGTTTTATCGCAATTCGCATGGTCCCGCACCGGGCATTGGGTAGCATGCGATGAGCTTGGACTAAAGCCTCGCTAGCGCTTGACCTTTGAACAGCCTTTAAATAAGCGTTTTGGATTGTAAAGATAACATACATAAGTATGTATGTATATATTAAATAATTTTGTTCACAACTGACTCACGTTTCGCTTATGCGGCAAAGCTTGGCATCGCCATTTTTCCTACTTTATCTCCTGTTTGTTCTGGGAAATCTTTGTATCGCGGCGCAACGTCATTTCGACCATTGCGCTGCGCCCGTCACAAATATACCGGTGGGCTAATGCTGTTATTGGGGTCGATAATCATAATAAGCAGGGGCGCGGGAACTACTTTCCGACTGGGGGGGGGGGGGGGCACACAATAATAGAGATCAACCTAGGGTACCCCCAAATCTAGTTTTCTCACCGGTTTTAGGCCACTTGTTTTTCATCCCTCGGCTTTTTCAACAAAAAAAGAAAACATTTGCAAAAAAAGTGTGGTATTCCGTCTCAAAGCTGTGGGGGCATCGCCCCCACGGCCCCAGAGTTGGGGGGGGGGGGGCAAGCTGCCCCCACTGCCCCCCGGCTCCCGCGCCATTAATAAGTTGTGAAACGGGCTTGCCTTGTGCAAATCCCATGCTTTTTTTTCGTGCTCAAAAAGCTTAGGTATTTAGAAATCAACATTCAACTGCCATCATTTCATGCATACCGGCTTGAGTTATTGCTTTCAGAGGCTCAAGAAGTTACAGGATAAGCTTTTAACTAGTAGGGCTTGTAGTGGAGAACTTATAAAGAAGAAGAGCAGGAATGGCTTGTCGACTATGGCACAAATTTTGTCTAAGAAAATATTTCACGTTGAAACGCCGCATCCCACATCAACTGTACTGCGCCATTAGTTTCCGTACATTCCTGTCCTTTTGCCCTTGTTCTGACCCCCGGTGATGCCAAGGTTAGGTGCCATCTGCACTGGGCCCCCGGTGATGCCAAGGTTAGGTGCCATCTGCACTGGGCCCCTCGTGTCGTTCCGAAATGGATGTGTGACACAGCTGCCGCATGACATGGCCGCGGGCAGCACAAAGGCCACCGCCCCGGTCGGGACACTATAAAATGGCCCGTGCTGACACGAGAACGTAAAGCTGCACTGAGTAGGATCGCCAGATCAACTCGGCAGAAGGCTGCTGATCTAATGAAGCTTGCTGTAGCGGTGAGTTGACTCAACTGATCTGTATCTGCATCGATGCAATCCTGAAAAATGCGCGATGGACGTGAAAGTAAAATACATAGACCTGTTTGTGGTTACGTGCTCTGCATGTTACCTACACATATTTCTTATCTCGCCCACTTTCAAAAGTACAGCCAATGCATGAAGTTGGGATAACTATGCATAAATACGCTTGTCATTAGGTCTCGGACCAGTGTCGTCTTAGTTGGGTAGGGGAAGTTGGGGCAATGCCGGAGTTGGGGCAAAGCCGAAATTCGAGATATTTCTAAAACCGTACGACATGGATGCCACGTCTCAGTGATGCTCTGAAGCTTAAGTGACTACAATTATCGCATGTTTGTTACGAGTCGTCATTTGAAATACTTCGGCTGTGAGGGCGCCAAAAGCGTTTTCAAGGTACGTTTCCCTTGTACTACATGCGCCTTTGAAGCTGCATTTCTTACTCATTATGCTACCGTTTGTCTGGCCAATTCGGTCAAGTAATCTTCAGCATGTCTTTGCATAAGTGTGCTGCCTATTTGAAATTTATACAGCACGTTTAAAAGTTATGGGCCTGCAAATGAAAGTATGGCTGGCTGGGGTAATGCCGAAAACGTGCAATTACGCACGTTAAAGCACGCTACGTGGACTTTACTGCTGTAGAATAGCAACGCGTATTTTTAGTCAAACAAATTACACTTTCAGGCGGCACAACGGCCTGTTACCTATAAGGAATGATTTACCTGGCATTTCCTTATTATATCACACAATTATAACTTCCACTGTGCACCAAGCGTCCTCAAGCTCTTAAAACGCTTGTCAGCTTTGATGAATTTTGGATAAAGTTTGAGATAAATTGGCAAAACATCAATGTCGGCATTCCTCGTAGATCATTTATCCCATTTTCGGCTTTCCCCGCAGTCCGGGGCAACGCCGAAAAAGTCAGTTCTTTGATATTTTTAGTTTTTGCGCTTAACGGTATGCGAATTCATCAAATGCGCCTGGTATGTTTGAAAGACAAAAGACTGGCCTCTCGAATGACGCCAACAAGAATAGCTTATGTTGTCTACCTTGCGTGCTACGGGCGTCAGAAAAAAAGTATTCGGCGTTCCCCCAACTTCCCCTAGGTATGTATTAGATGTAGGTATGTCCAGCGTGGTATTTTCGGCAATGACATGCCTTATTTTCTCACCCTGTTTCACTCTTTTATTCTTGTTTTTATGCAAATAAATTAACCTAATTTTGAGGTCGACTGTATCGCGCCGTTTTTCTCCTGCAGCTTGTGGTGGTGGTGGCGGCCTCTGGTGCGAGGCATGGCCCTGGACAAGGTAACGGTGGTGGAGGCGGAGGCGGTGGCGGTGGCGGAGGCGGAGGCGGAGGCGGAGGCGGTAACGCCTGTCAGTGCACTCCGCCTTCTCAGTGCCGCCTGGCCACTGCCGGCGTGTCCTTGCGCAGCTGCACCCTCGCCGACCAGTCAGCAGGAGTGTGCTGCCGCAACCCTCCAACAGTCAGCATTCCCGCAGGAACTCTCCCCGGCCTTCTCAGCCCCCAGCGGAACTACCGCAGGTCTGTGGACGTAGAGTGTACTTCCTCAGATAGCGCAGCTCTGGAGGACATTCTGGCTGAACAGGAGCAACTGGAGAATCGTCTGCTAGATCGTGGGACAGTGGCCCGAGGGGCGACACGGTCCCACCGTCGGCTGCAGATGGCTGGTCCCGAGCACCAGACTTCCGCCCGACGAGCACTCCTCGACATTCTGAGCTCCAAGGTGTGCAGAGGCGGCGGTAACGGAAGCGGTAACGGAAACGGTAACGGAAACGGTAACGGAAACGGTAACGGAAACGGTAACGGAAACGGTAACGGAAACGGTAACGGTAATGGAGGCGGAGATGGCAGCGAGTCGAACTGCCCTGATCCTGCGACCCCGGATTGTCCCTCCTCCCCATCCTTCCGCACCGCGGACGGTTCCTGCAACAACCCGACCAACCGGCAGCTAGGGATGTCAGGTCATGCGATGCTGCGCCTCCTGCCCAGCCGTTATGACGATGGCATATTTGAGCCGCGCAGCCGGCAGACAGACGGCTCGCCCCTGCCCTCCGCCCGCCTCGTCAGCTCGACGGTCACAGCCGACTCTGACGCCGCTGACGACCGTTTCACCCTCTCGGTGATGCAGTGGGGACAGTTCGTCGACCACGACCTAGCGCTGACGCCCGTCTTTGCTCTGCCCCCATACGGTACTGCCATCGCGTGCTGCACGCCCAGCGGCCAGCCGCTGCCTGAAGCTGACACCCATCCCCAGTGTCTTGCCATCGAGGTACCCGCCAACGACTCGTTTTACGGTCCTCTGGGGGTGCGCTGTATGGATTTTGTTCGTTCTGTGCCGGCCGAAGCTCCCGATTGTGGCGCCACGGTCGATTTCCAGCAGCAGGATGTTCTCACCCACTTCCTGGACGGGTCGCAGATCTACGGGTCCGACGCCGATCAGCAGAGGCACCTCCGCGAGCTCAGCGGGGGACGCCTGAGGTCGCAGTCTGGGTCACTGCTCCCCGGCGATGGGGATACCTTCTGCTCCATCAGTGGCTCTTCCCAGCAGTGTTTCGAGGCTGGGGATGAGCGGGTCAACGAGCAGGTAGGGTTGACGCTGGCACACACCATCTGGCTTCGTGAGCACAACCGTATAGCGGCTGTGCTGGCAGGGAGACACCCAGACTGGGACGACGAGCGCCTTTTCCAGGAGGCGAGGCGCATAGTTATCGCTGAGTACCAGCATATAACTTATAATGAATGGCTGCCGACGATTCTTGATCTCGACTTCCTCACACGCAACGAGCTGCTTGTGGACAATGGCAGCACCTACTCAACAAAGTACAGCAGTGACGTGCAGACACTGGTCACCAACGCGTTCGCCACGGCGGCGCTGCGCTTCGGCCACAGTCTGGTCTCTGGAACGATCGGTTTGTTCTCCTCGCTCGGCGTTCAGGTCAGCAGCGTCATGCTTCGGGACGTCTTCTTCGACCCGCACCTCCTCTACGACCCGCAGCGTCTCACGCAGCTCGCCCGCGGTCTCACCAACCAGCGTACCCAGAAGCTGGACGGTAACTTCGCCTCGGATGTCACCGAACATCTGTTTGAGGGTGACGGTGACTCTCATGGACTCGATCTAGTAGCGCTCAACATCCAGCGCGGTCGCGATCATGGTCTCGGCACGTACAACGACGCCCGCGTAGCCACCGGGCAGAGTCGTGTACCAACGTGGAACGCTTTGCGGAGAACCATGTCTGCGGAGGAGATCGAGGCACTGCGCAGCGTCTACGGCCACGTCGACGACGTGGACCTCTTCATTGCCGGGGTGCTGGAGCGTCCAATGCGGCACGTCGTGCTCGGCAAGACCTTCGGACGGCTCATCGGTGACCAGTTCATTCGCCTCCGACACGGCGACAACTTCTTCTACGACCTGGGCGGCTCGGAGCGGCCGTGGCGGCTGTCGGGCGCGCAGCTGGAGCAGGTGCGCCGCGCCAGCTGGGCCCGCGTGCTCTGCGACAACGTGGCGGACGTGACGCGCATCCAGCCGCTGGCGTTCCGCGTAGCGGACACCGGCTCCAACGCCGTCACCAGCTGCGACAGCGATGCCATTCCGCGTGTCAACCTGGACGCCTGGTAGCGAGTATCATGAACAAGGCGTGCCCTCTGGCCCTTGTTCAGCCCGCTGGCATAGGCGAACTCGAGATCTAAGTTTGTCTGCACGTAGGTCCACGTGCTCGACGTTTTCATTCGTTGTGTGTTTTCGGTGTTAAACAACATATCTCTTGTATCAAGGATGATCGCACGCGAAGCCGACAATCACGTTCGATCGTAAGTCGCGTTCGTAAGTCAGCGGGCTAACTAGACGTTTTAATTTGCTGTGTGTTTCGGTGTGTGGCATTACATGTATTGTACCGAAGATGAAAATAAATGGCATGGGAATGGTGTTACCTACGTCTTTCTTCTCCCATTGATAAATGATGATGGTTTGCACTTTGCATCAACCAAATATCTGACACGAGCATGATGATAATCGTAATTGGTCGGGAAAGATGGGTGAAATAAATGTGTTGTCGTGGCATATCGCTTTTATGTTATCCTTAATCAGCGAAGTCTATTGTCTATCCCATGGTTAACTTACCGTGACCTAACTTGACAAATAGGTAATCAACCCTAAACAAGGAGTTCAGAGTTATCATCAGACACCAATTTCGCTCTGGTGTTGCATTGCTGCAATGCACGGTTACATGTACCGGGTACCCGATAAGAGAAAACGATCTTAGAATCAATACCACTGCACATGCTAAATGAAAATGAACATAATTCGCTACAGATAACGATGAGCTAGTAAATGCATGCCTACTCGTAGATCTAATTTCGTCCTAATGGCGGTGCTCTTGCAACCAAGCTTGCAACTATACATATAACCCGCATCCCGTTGGGCTCTGCCGAGCAACGCGCCCTGTTGGGGGGGGGGGGCAATTTGGCCCCCCTAAGATCTCGAGAACCACGCAACCTAGCGACAAGCAGCAAAGGGTGTTGGATAGCCCTATCAGAGAACTACCCTGTGACCCAATTTTATTGACCTAGGTCAAACCGATGACGTCACAGGTCAGGTCAAAGGTCGAATTTTCACCGTTTACAGGCATTTCAAGAAATGCGTTGTAAAATCGAGTAAAATGCATTTAATTGATAATCATCGATGGGGAAATGTTCTTCAAACACATATTTTGCTATTTGAGGTCACTGATACTAGGTCAGGTCACAGAGGTCAGGTCACTGAGGGTCACAATATAAAAATATCATGTGATGCATGTTTTATGGTCCATTTTATGTCAAATACGATTTTGTGGGTCAGGCAGCCTTTGGGGTCTGTTTAGATTATGTTCTGGTGAAGGTCAGGTCAAGGTCAGGTCAAATTAGGTCAAATTTCAAAGTTGATATTTTTGCATAAAATGGGTATCGATTCGATGCAGCTTGTCACGGGGAGTTCAATGGTGGTCTTTGTTTTGCCCTACGTGGTCTAGAATCGCTAAAAATGGAGTTCAAAAATTTGACGTCATCATTTTTGAACAGTTTTTTCGTTATAACTTGGCCAAAAAAACGAGATATTGATCTGAAATTTGGTATGGATATAGAAGAGCGCAGGGACTATCACATATATTCCGTTTTTTTCGAAAATTGGATTTTTTTTAGTTTTTCTTAAAAAATCAATTTTTTGAAACTTTGGGGGTAAAAACCCAAAATTTTGAAAATCCGAGATAGCAGTTTTGTAGCGCCGCTTTTTTGTCTACTAGACCATATAAAGAACTTTGAAATTGCTTGGTAACTGCAGCTTTGGTGAGCGTTTCAAGATTGCATGTTTTTTGCTCATTTTTGCTCTAACATGACCTCAGTTTGACCTCAATAACTCCTGACCTAAGGTGACCTAAGACTTGAAATTTTGTGTGAAGGTGTCAAATTGATGCCCGGGGAGGTACTGAAAATTTGGCGGCGCTGTGCGCCGCCGTTTTCTTGCTATTTAGGAAAAAACACAGGGGGGGGCAAATTGCCCCCCCCCCCAACGGGGCGAGGGATAATAAATCACCACAAATTGAGTCACGAACTGTGTTATGTAATGCTGCATGAGTCTAGCCTGAGTCTTAGGCTGTATACACAACGCACATTGCACAAAATTTCCCTACTGGTGTGATGGTGGTACAGGTGGCGCTGAGGGAAGCGCCAGGCGTCGCTGTCGTACGCTCGGTCGGCCGCCGCCGCACCCCGGCTGCCACACGAGGGCCGAGGCACCGGGTGACGGTCAATGGGGCGATGAAATGGGGGACTCGTTTTGATGTGTGGCTGGTGGTGTCGGTGCCACGCTGGTGATGAATAGGATTGGAGGGTAGTGTTTGTTTTCATTTTGCCTTAGCGAACATCCAGCTCGACCAAAACAGACTTTGCAACTGTTCAAGTTGTCGATAATAAGATCACGTCTTTTTGGGGTGATCTCATCGGATGCTCGTTTGACTAGATGGTGACCTTATGTTCCCTCGTGCCGGAACAGCCAGTGCCACGGGGACGGGCTCAGCTCGTGGGTAAATCAGCTCAATGTTCCTCTCGATGACCTTATAAGCTCCGTGGTCCGTTCGTAGACGGTAGGTACTTGGTATTGTCTAAATAGACGGAAACGGCTTACCCCACTCCAAAGAAAAACAAAAGGAGCCTGAACTACACATTGCTGACGAATGCCAAGGTACGGGAACAGCGGGATTTGTATTTTTAAGACACGTGGAATCATTTTTGCCGCTTATCTTTGTTTGTATTTGCTATCACTGACATTTTGTTTCGAACGTTTTTAAGTTGCGTACTTGCCATCAGGTACCTACTTGCCTTTTAACTACAGCAATCTTTCGAACTTGTGATATCTCGTTCTGTACGGTCTCAAATCTGTGTGACTAACTGCCCTTGCCCTTTGTCTGATCGCTCATTTCTCGCTGACCCAATGACCGTCTCAACCCCTCCCCCCCCCCCCCCCCACACACACATCGCAGCCGACCTGTTTGTTCGCGTCCGGCTCACATCAGCTCATCAGGTCAGATTGCGTCAGATCGGCCCGGCTTCATCACCCACCAGCGACCCAGACAGGAATCAGGTAGCCGCACCGCGTGCTATCGACTAAAAATCCCCGACAGTCCAACGCGCAAGTCACTGCACCGTCGCATCAACCCCGCGACCGCTCGTCCCTACTCTTCGGTGAATCTAAGAACGGAGTCCCGTGTCGTTTGCTGGTCGCATTGCAAGTAAGGTTCGTTGTTTGCTAAAGAGTAATGTGGACTGTTTTGTGTGTCTTCTGGCCGTTTCCGTACTACATAGTTCGCTGTACTGTTTCGCTTAATTACCAGGTCAAATGTGTAAAAATACGCAACACTTCTTCAAAACTTCGATGGCCCATGCCTCCCGGGGGCCATACCTCCCGGGTCTCCCCTAAGTGTATCAAGACACCAATTTCCGTTTTACTTACCGTTAAACCGGCCTATATCTTCAACCATCACGGACAAGCAGCAGCATGAAAACTACAGCTGACTCACCTATCAAACGGCCTGCATCCTCATCCTCTATACGGACATGGGAAGAGTTCTAACCCGCCAGTAAAACAACTTCCTCCCCACATGGGGCGGGTGTGACCAGGTGACCCACTGCTGGGTCGGGAGCGGCCGGCCGGCAAGGCCTCCTGCCACGCCGAGGCGTGGGCAGCCTCAGCTGACCGCCCTGCACCGGGGCGGGGGCGGGGGCGGGGGCGGCCAACTGGAGCGACACGCGGCCAGTCAGGCGTCGCGCCGACGCGGGATGGCACCGCACGACGGGGCCCGTGGCGGTGCGGTCAGCGGTGGTGACGCGCCGCGGCCGGCTGACGGTCTGGAATGTGTCACCGTGGGAGAGACGGCCGCCGGTCCAGACAGGAACCGTGTCAGTCACCGCGGCGCGGCCCAGTGCCGCCGCAAAACACTGGGGGATAGACTGATACCGCCGCAGGGCACCGCAGGGGGCAAGTCCATGACGTTTGAAGCCACCACTGCTGGACAGACTGATATCACTAGAGGACACATTGGCATTGACACAGGACATGGTATACGACAACATTAGACTGGTGAACACCGATTATCTGCTATTGGCGTAAAACACTAATAAGCTATCCCAGTCCCGTGTAAGGGTTGGGGTTCATGTCTTGTGGGCTTCTGTCAAAGTTGCAGTCTCTGGACGAGCGAGTCACTTGGCGTTGCAGTCCCAGCTGTCTCTTCTGATGCTGAAGTTGTAGGTATTCTCCGACAGTCTGATGAGATTCAACCTCTGCAGGGTTTCTATACCTTAGGTTACACTATGGTCACACATTTATAAACGGTGCCACATCTTTTAAGTGTATGAAGTATAGACTGGCAAAAAGAGACCCTTTTAGTGGCATGCGTCGACTCTAGTTAGTGATGAATGTAGGATTGCAGTGGGCTAATACTCAATGCAAATACCTACTTAGTCTGACCGGTCTGCCAATAAAACTAACAATCAAATGGGGAATGTTTGATTGATCACCGGTAAATCTTGGTAAAGATAACGGACAATGCAGTTGACAGAGCCGACGGTTGAAAAACATTTCACTCAACCAGCCAGTCATTGACCTTTTTAGTTTTAGAGTGCTAGTGCAAAATAATTATAGATGTAGATTGCTTTCTACAATTTGCTTCCTTCACATATTGCGGCACAATTTTGCACAATTTGCACAATTTTTGGGGCAGCCGTCATGCCGCACAATAAATTTGAGACGATCACACTTGGCGTTAACATGAAACGACACATCAATTTTTATGTGGTGCGTTGAAATAATCAGTTAAAAAAACTCATAATTAACCCATGTCTAGCTTATCTAACATGCAGACCTCCTTGTCCCCATGTCAAGTGACGGCAGTGGCGGTGACACCACTGCCGGTGGTGTCACCAGCCGGCAGTGGCGGTGACACCACTTCTGTGACCCGGTCATTGCCCGGGGCAGCGGGCGGCGACCACGGCCGACTGGATACCGTCACCGTCATCCGATCAACCGTTGGACATCGAACTGGGACTGAACAGTCACGCCGCAACATTGAACTAGGACTGAGCAGTCACACCGAGCCGGTGGTTGAGCTGAGTCAGTCAACTTAACTCTGAGTTCGTGACTGAGCTGACTCGGCGGCTGAAACTTCAGGCCGGTGACTGAGCGGCGACTGAAACTCCGAGCCGGTGACACTGAGCTGAGTCAGCGACCTATCGCACCAGTCATTTCGATTCTGGCTGGGCGTCGTTGCAGGCTAGGCATGGATAAAACTGCAGACGGGCAAGACCTGACTAGGCACTACAAGTCCCACGAAAATATAAGAATCGCGTCAACACTCTCGAGCATTTTCGATCTCGAGGAGTTCGATCATTTGGGTTGTTT